GCTGCATAGCTGTAATCTCCAATGGCTGAAATAGTAGAGCACTTCCTAGTTCAAGCCCTAAATGCAAAATCTTATTACACACACAAAAAAAAATGGTGAAAATCCAACTATAGAATAGTGAGAAGGAAAACATTTACAAATGCCATATCCAACAAAGTAATTATATCTAGGATTAACTAAAGCTGTTCAAAACTCAACAATAAAAAAAAATAAACAGCCCAAGTAGCCACTGAGCAAGAGAATATTTTCTCCCTTCGAGGAGGCGTAGATGGCTCATAAATACATCAAAGGCGTTCAACATCATTAGCCATTAGGGAAATGCAAATTAAAACCACAGTGAGTTACCACTACACAGCTACACAGCTAGCACCCATACTGTTACACTCTGTTTCTGTGGCTCAGGAATTCAGACAAAGGACATATCTCTGTTCCTCAAAGTCTGGAATATCACCTTGTAGGACCCAATCCCAAATGATGGAGCAGCAGGAAGCTGGCACTGCCTGGAGACATCCATCCCTTTCCTGTCTGTCCGTGGATGTTAACTGCAGCCTGGAGCCTCAGCTGGAGCTGCTGACTGCCACCCACTCAGGTCCTCTCCTTGTGTGCAGAGGGAAGTTCACAGCATGGCAGCTTCCAGGGATTCAGACTTACTGTACAGTTCCTCAATCCCTTAAACCCAAGGGTCACAGCACATAAGGGAGAAAGGCGTCGTTGTTCTTGTTTGTGACTTAGCCTCAGAAATCACAGACTCATTCAGAAGCACATTATTGGCCAAACCCTTCACAAACCCACCCATCCAGGTTCAAAAGAGGAATGTAGACCCCAGGTCCTAAGAGAGAGAGGTAAGATCACTTTATTGAATAGACTGGGATGGGGTGGGGCTTTACCATCTTCTGCACTAGACAGATCCCACTTTTTCTGTGGGATCTTGCTTCCCACCCCCAGAATTCTATCCAAATGATTTCTGATCTTTGGTTCCAAAGGCTTGAGGGCGGATGTTTCCACTTCCTTTGTGTTCATACAGAGAGCAGGAATCTGAGGAATTCTTGTTCATTTTTCCTCTAACTCTTTCTTCCCAAAACACATCTGTTCATGGAAGGTCTGGGGGTGGGGAGGAGAATCTTCTCTTTTTCATATTTTCTTTCTAAAATTTGTTGTCCTAAGTTCTTTCCCTTCCCCTCAGAATCCATATTATTAGAACTAGAAATCCAAGAATTTGCTCACGAATGCAAAGTTTGCCTCCTTCCTTCTCTAAGTTCTTTTTCATTCCTACTTGGATGGGGTGCAGAGAAATCACAAGGAATAGAAAGAAATGCACAAAAGTCAGTCTATCAGTTAGTATTCCCAACAATGCTCAATTACCACAATAGCTTGTCACCTCTGTCAGCATCTCAATGCAACTTGACCTATTCCTGGAATAAATAGTACCTGCTTTCTCTGCCCAAGTTAGTACAAGTAAAGAGTATATATTGGGTCCTGAAACATCATCCTTATCATTGATAGAAGCCAAGCCAAATGAGGGGGTGTTATAGATTCATATTATGAACTGAAGGTTTGTGACCCTCAACTCAAATGCTGAAGGCCTATTCCTCACTACTCCCAGTGTGTTGCTATTTGGAGAAGGAGTTTTTGCTGAGGGTAATTAGGGTTAAATTTTGTTAGGAGAATGGAACCTTCATGATGGGGTTAAAGCTCTTATAACAGATAACAGTATGCTAGCGCTCTCTCTCTCTCCACCATGTGCACACATGGAGGTCATGTAAGCAAACAAGATGAGAGAAGAGAAGAGAGCCAAGAGAGCTCAGAATGAAACCTACCCTAACAGAACCTTGATCTTGAACTTTCCATCCTCTACCACTGTCAGAAAGTATTTGTTGTTTAAGCCATCCAGCCTACTGCATTTTGTTTTGGCCACCTCATGTGATTTCTAACACATACTTAGCATTAAGAGCAGGCTACTGTTAAGCTAAAGGCCTAAACATGTGGAAGCGACTTTGGAACTGGACAGAGGCTCGGCTTTTGAGATATGCACTAGCACAGTGGATCTAAAAGGCATCTGGTGAGTTCTCAGAAAGAAAAGAGGAAAGCTGGAAGAAAGCCTCATGCTTTTAGAGAATTTATAAGTAATGAATGCAATGATGGTACCAATATGAAAGGTAAAACCATTTAGCAGTCTCAGATGGAAGCAATAAGGCACTACGTTATTGGACACTGAAGAAAGGTGCTTCTCGAAAGAAAATGGCAGAGAACTTGCATGAACTATGTTCTACTGGTCTATAGAAGGTAGAACTTGCAAGCAGTGAACTCCAGTATTTCACAGCAAAGTGTTGAAGGAGCAGCTTGGTTCCATCTGATTGATTATTGTAGAATACAAATACAAAAGGGCAAATTGAAGAAGGGATTGCTAAGCAAAACAGAACTTGATGATCTGGAACATTCTCATCCTATTCATATTGCAAAAAAAAAATGAGAAAGTATGTACTAAAGAATCCAAGAGTATGTCTGGGCTATCATTCAGGGGGAAAAAAAAGCTTATGGTATCATGTAAGCAGAAATATTGCTAATTGGACCTGAAGGGGAGGGACTCCACAGGACAAAATGAGAAAAAAGTTTGTTAAACTTCTTTCTCACATTTGATAGGACAGGATGGCAGGTGTGTGGAAGAGGGAAAAAAATTACCTCCCAGCTGACTTAGGAATCCCTAGGATCATTGACTTGGTTTTCACAGGCCAGACACCCGGCAGAGGCAAGAGCTATGATTATGTCTTAGAGCTAGGATAATGGTGCTGCTACCTCAGTGGGCAGAGTGTAGAGTACAAACTATAAGGAATTACTCTGGAGTCTTAGAAAGCTGGTGTCATTTGCTTTGCTAGACTCTGGGCTTGCTTGGGGTGTATCATGTCTTTCTTCCTTCTGATCTCTCTCACGTTGAATGAAAACGTCTGTCCAATTCCTGACCACCAGTGTATTTTGGGAACACATAGTGTTCACATGGCAAACAGAACACATGGTTTCAGAAGTTTACAACCACAGAGGAATTCTGTCTCAGGATGAATATTGCCCTTATTTACACTCACAGGTGTGCTTTTTTTTTTAGGTTAAAATGCAAACAGTAGTACAATTTCTATTATTTACAGAAGACAGGTAATACAAAAAGGGAGTTTCAAAAAATAAAACAGATACAAAATATATTGACAAAAGTTTGAATGTAAATATTTTAAATTTGGGGAGCTTATTTTATTAAGTGTGATGTACAGAAGGGTTAAAGTTACACAAGTAAGGTAACAAGCACATTTCTTGTCCAACATTGTTACCCCTTCCCTCATTTTCTCCCACTCCCCCCACCCCTGACTTCCCTCATACGTGTTTCAGATTGCATTTTAAAAGATTTTAGGTTTAACAGATCCTTCAGAAATGAGTTTAAAATCTTTGGAACCATTGATACAGAATGAATATATTGTTGCATATGAGAAATAGAGTGTTGTGGGCTGAATTTGTCGCTACAAATTCAAATGTTGACTCGCTAGCTTCTTGTAATGGCAATTGATGGTAGGGTCTTTGGAAAGAAACCAGAGTTAGCTGAGGACATGAGGGTAAGACTTTCATAGTAGGACTTTTGTTCTTAGAAAATGAGATACTGCTGGGCACCAGTAGTTCATGTCTGCAATCCTAGCACACTCATGAGGCCGAGATATGAGGATCACAGTTCAAAGCCAACCTGAGCAGGAAAGTCTGTAAAACTCTTATCTGCAATTAACCACCAAAAAGCCAGAAGAGGAACTATGGCTTGAGTGGAGCACTAGCCCATAGCAACAAAGCTTAGGGACATCACCCAGGCCCTGAGTACAAGCCCCATTACTAGCCAAAAAAAAAAAAAGGAAGAAAGAGAAAGAGTGAGAAAGAAGGAAGGAAGGAAAGAAAAAATGATGAAAGAAAAGAAAAAAGGGTCTGGGTGCCAGTGGCTCATGCCTGTAATCCTAGCTACTCAGGAGGCTGAGATCTGAGGATGGAGATTCAAAGCCAGCCTGGGCAGGAAAGTCTGTGAGACTGTTATCTCCAATGAACCACCAGAAAACCGGAAGTGGCACTGTGGCTCAAGTGATAGAGCACATGCCTTGAGCTAAAGAGCTCAGGGACAGCACCCAGGCCCAGAGTTCAAAAAAAAAAAAAAAAAAAAGGAAAAAGAAAGTGAGTTATTGTTTTCTCTGATTACACAAGAAAGACGTCATGTGAGCTGACTGAGCAGGGTTAGCACTGTCTGCTTTTGTGGATTAACTTTTACTATTACCTTCCATTTGTTAAATATTGTTATCTAGTACTAGATTTTCTGATTCTTAGTATACTAGGTATATTATTACAACTGCTATTAATAAAGATTTGCATTTACATTTC